TCCGCCGAGGTAAGGATGGCGGAGTATCGATAAAGGATGACGGTTCTACGCTCACGCAGCGCCTCATCCGGGTACTTCGCTCACGCATTCGCCCTGAGCCATTAGCCTGCGTCACGCGGAGGCCCGTTAGGGGCCCGCGGGCCACTCGCGTCACAGCCAAGCCGCATTTAGCCCGCTGCCGGCTAGCGGGTTGAGCTAACAAACGCTGACGTTCTTTGTTGCTGCGTTCCGCGGCCTTTTCCCTCAAGCGCAGCCTAAAGTAATCCCCGGGCCGCTTTAACACTGCTTCCGGTCCCCGGCGGGACTCGTCTTTGTCTTTTGTTCCAGGCGTTGAAACCAGCTTTTACCGCCCCGGAGTCTTAGCATGTAGCCGCCGAAGCTAATTGCGCCGGCTGCTGGCCGAGGCGAATACGATGTGGAAACAAAGGCTTCTGTCCCCACGACGAGGAAGCACGTGTCCACAGGGGGGGGGGGGGGGGCACAGTGGCGCCACCGTCGCGGTTATTTATACCTCCGCGCCTCGAAAAGCTGCAGCCATTTTGTGCCCTTAGCAGCGGGGCGTTCCCCGAATGGCGCCCCAGCTGCCGTTATGCGAGGACCCCCCCCCCCCACACACACACACACACACACACACACACACACACCACAGTGCGGCATTCCTGTTGTCACGTGACACTACCGCATAAGAAGCTGATCTGTGTTTTAATGGCGCTGGTGCAGGAATTCAGTTGTGTCCATTAAAGGGAGCTGATGATAAATGTTCAGAGGCGCATTGATCCCTCATCTTGTGACAATGTGTTGCTGCACAGAACAAAGGCCTTTGAGTTCTGGACCGTTTCCACTGATCTGTGTACTGACTGCCCTGCATGTCTGCAGCTCCGGGACGACGTGGTGCCAAAGACTGCAGAGAACTTCCGGGCCCTGTGCACCCACGACAAGGGCTTCGGCTACAAGGGTTCCTGCTTCCACCGCATCATCCCCAGCTTCATGTGCCAGGTGGGTCCTCCTGTTTGATGGCGCCGTGTACAACTAACGTGTGACTGACGGGTTGCTGTCATAATGGCTGTCTCTCTGCATCAGACCTGTCAGTCTGCTGCTGAAGCGTGTGTGTTAACTGGTGTGTGTGGTGTGCGCGCAGGGCGGGGACTTCACCAACCACAACGGAACCGGTGGAAAGTCCATTTATGGCAACAAGTTTGCTGATGAGAACTTCACCCTGAAGCATCTTACCCCTGGAACCCTGTCCATGGCCAACGCCGGGGCCAACACCAACGGGTCCCAGTTCTTCATCTGCACAGAGAAAACCCCCTGGTGAGGGCAACAGACGTAGGGAGACTCCTGCTGCAGGAGGAGCGGAGACGTAGGGAGACTCCTGCTGCAGGAGGAGCGGAGACGTAGGGAGACTCCTGCTGCAGGAGGAGCGGAGACGTAGGGCGACTCCTGCTGCAGGAGGAGCGGAGACTGGGGACAGGAGAGCTGGTCACAGTGACCCTTTAGAGGCGTTGAACCAGTCAATAAGCGTCCCAATAGAACCTCTAGTTTGTGGTCATGATGTTGAGGATCCGGTTTGTTCAGAATCTGCGTGTCTTTCAATGAGCTGATGTCCTTGCAGGCTGGACGGGAAGCACGTGGTGTTCGGCAGCGTGGTGGAGGGCATGGACGTGGTGAAGAAGATGGAGGCCACCGGCAGCCAGAGCGGCAGAACCTCATCCAAGATCGTGATCGCTGACTGCGGGCAGCTCTGAGCGCTCTGTAGCCACGCCCCCACAGCCCCGCCCCCTCTGCCATTCAACATTCCTTCACAATAATGCTTCAACCTTCCCCCTCCCGTCATTTTTATTGCGTTGTTGAAAACTTGTTGCTGCATTTGTTACTTTTCCTTTACGGGGTTTCTGATGCATTAACGGTTCTTTTCATGGCTCAACGTTTTTTTGTTAAATCAAAACGAATAAGAAAATTAAACAAGTTGCCTTGACAATTGAAACATTTGTTGTTGTTTTTATTTCACTTTACTTCCAGACCATAACAGATGGAAGTTCATGTTTCTTTAAGGCACTATCAAACTATTTTATCTTAATTTGAGTTTCTTTTTAACAGAGTTCCTGCGCAGCACTACTTTATTGTGTATTAAACAGGACTAATTCCTGCAAAGATTCTGCTGACTGAGCTGCTCTGCCTGGGACGTCCAGCAGGGCGAGTCTTCATCTTTTAAGCTGTTAAATCGTTCATCCCGTCAGACTACATACAACCAGCTTCAAAGAAACACTCCATGAGTGATGCTAAAGGTTACACACCTGTTTCTACTGTTATCGCTCCTAACCGTCCAATGGTGCGTCACTATTTAAATACTGCTGGTGCAAGGAGCTGTGGGACGGGTTTATCTGTCAGGATTGTCCCGTGGTGCCTATGCTAAAGGAGCTAAGGAAGCATTGGAGCTCTTTAGCATTAGAATCACAACAGCTCTTATCATGGCGCCACTTCCACTACTTCACTCAGTGAGGAACCTTCATTAGGGTTTACTTCCAATCCAACCTACAAGTTTATTTTTTAGTTTATCAGAACTTTATCAGCTCATATCTGTTAGCTTAGCATAATGACTAACTGGTAAGCGTCAGTCAAGCTCCTGAAGTGCTCCGTCGCCGTCTGGTACGCTGCAGCCACAGCCGAGGACAAGGACCGGCTGCAGCGCGTCCTGGATCTGCCGTCTGAGACGTCCCGTCGGCTCAACCGAGCCGGTCACTTTCTGTCTCACTGCACACGCCACTTTCTGTTCGCTGTTGCACTTTATTTTTGTTTTTTAATATTTTGAACTTTTATCCCTGTATTTTTAAACTAACCCATAGCATTATTTTGTATTTTATTCCTCTTGCATGTTGTCTTGTCTGCTGTTACGCACCAACCGCCAGGTCACATTCCTCCTACGTGACATATTATGGTGATGAATGTGTCCTGATTCCTGTCATATATGCCTACGTAGGAGCTCCTCTGTCTAAAGGGTTAATGTTCAAATCTAAGTAATGTTAAAGCTAGCTGTCCTCAGTGTTTATGCTAAGCTAGGCTAGCTTCCTTCCACCTCCAGATTTATAATAAGATTCAAACAGGGTCACTGTGTGTTTTAACACTAAGGTCTTTTATTGAATACAATAATGTAAACAAACGAAAACATTCTTCTAACTCAGTGGTTCTCAAACTGGGAAATATACATATAATCCTTTATTAATCCCACATGGGGAATTTATTCTCTGCATTTTACTCCTTCTTAGTAATTAAGGAGCAGTTTGCTGGTGTGAAGCACCGGGCTTCAGTGCCTTGCTCAAGGACACAGACACACAAACTACGTAGAGAAGACGGATGGATCCACAGTGGAACATCAGTTTGGTCCACCTGCTTCTTCTCTTTACAAGTTTTACATTTGGACAGAACTGTTTCAAATGAAAGGTACATGTTCTTTATGCTGTTACACACAGACTCACACAGACTCACACAGTCACACAGACTCACACACAGACTCACACACAGACTCACACAGAGTCACACACAGACTCACACAGACTCACACAGTCACACAGACTCACACAGTCACACACAGTCACACAGACTCACACAGACTCACACAGTCACACAGACTCACACAGTCACACACAGACTCACACAGACTCACACAGTCACACACAGACTCACACAGTCACACACAGTCACACAGACTCACACAGTCACACACAGACTCACACAGACTCACAGACTCACACACAGACTCACACAGACTCACACAGACTCACAGACTCACACACAGACTCACACAGTCACACAGACTCACACAGTCACACACAGACTAAAACAGTCACACACAGTCACACAGACTCACACAGTCACCCACAGGACTCACACAGACTCACAGACTCACACACAGACTCACACAGTCACACAATGCCTTATTTCAATAAAAACTCAGCACGGGCCGTTTGGTTCCGTCTCCGTCGGGCGGCGATGAGGCGGCGGTTTGAGAACCACTGTTCTACCGTCTGAACTCGTGGGAATAATTATACTTAAATTAACAGAGTTCATGAAGTGTCAACAGGCCGTCCTCCTTTTCTTCCCAGAATGCCTTGTGTTCCTGTGGCCCTGCCCAGGGGGGCGGGGCTTACACACGCCCTGCCCCTTCGCCCGGCCCGACTCCGCCCGGCTTGCGGCGCCGCAGGACAAACCCGGGCCGCAGTCGCAGCGGCCCAGCTTCCTCCTCAGTTTGCCCGAGCCTTTGAGCAAACAGGCCTCGCCCTCCACCGGGATCCGCTGGCACCGCCGCCCGGTGAGGTACCGGACGCAGCACAGCCCGGCGGCGCAGTCCCCGGAACGCACGCAGACCGCCATCTCCACAGCTGAGAGGGGAGGAGCCTTTTACTGGGGGGCAGGTACTAGTACTACACACTGAAATCACTAGAGTACTTGTACTACACACTGAAATCACTAGAGTACTAGTACTACACACTGTGAGATCACGAGAGTACTAGTACTACACACTGTGAGATCACTAGAGTACTAGTACTACACATCGTGAGATCACTAGAGTACTAGTACTACACACACTGAAATCACTAGAGTACTTGTACTACACACACTGAGATCACTAGAGTACTAGTACTACGCATCGTGAGATCACTAGAGTACTAGTACTACACACACTGAGATCACTAGAGTACTAGTACTACGCATCGTGAGATCACTAGAGTACTAGTACTACACACACTGAGATCACTAGAGTACTAGTACTACACACCGTGAGATCACTAGAGTACTAGTACTACACACTGTGAGATCACTAGAGTACTAGTACTGTGAGATCACTAGAGAGTACAGGTACTAGTACACACTGGAATGAATATAAAGTGCTACATGTACTACATGTACATCTGAGATGTAGTATTGTGTAAAGTATATATTAATACCTGTTTTGTTCTTCCAATCACTCACCTTTGGTTCTGTTGAAGCCGTCTGTGTGGATCTGTCTGTCCGTCTCTCTGTCCACCGGTCTGTCCTGTGGGGACGGTCTCCTCTGAGCTCTGTTACTGCAGCCTCCCACCTGAAGATCAATACATGATCAATACAAGTAAAAAGTACCACAGCCTGTCTCTTTCTCTGTCTCTGCCAGTCTGTCCTCTATCTGCCTGTCTCTCTACCTGTCTGTCCTCTACCTGTCTCTCTACCTGTCTGTCCTCTACCTGTCTCTCTACCTGTCTGTCCTCTACCTGTCTGTCCTCAACCTGTCTCTCTACCTGTCTGTCCTCTACCTGTCTCTCTACCTGTCTGTCCTCTACCTGTCTCTCTACCTGTCTGTCCTCTACTGACCGGCGCTCCGTAGCAGTCCTCAGTCGAGCACCGAGCTGTCTGTCTTCTGTTGGGATTGAAGGTGGTTTCTGTCCGCCGCCGCACGGGACGCTCCACCTGGTCACCATGGAAACGGTCCTGATGGACAGAGTGATGTCACAACCTCATCATGTAGTATAGTATATAGAGTAAATGTATACTCATACTGCAAGATATACTCTGTCATTGTGTAGTAAAGGTATAAATGTACTACAGGGAAGTACTCTCACCAGGAGCTGCGTGGTCTCCTTGGAGGACCTGATGGAGTTCTGGTCCAGGGTCAGACCGCAGACCAGAGACACACACAGGAAGCTCCTCCACATCAACATCCTCCGATCAACGGATCTGTCGCTTATCAGCTGTCAATCACCGAATGACCCTCCTCCTCTCTGCTCCTGCTCTCTGATTGGTTGATCTGCTGCTCTGTGGTCCAGATGTTCTCCAGATGTTCCAGTGTGCTCTCACCCTGTCTCCGCTCCGTGTGGTGTCCCTCGGTCGGGTGCGCTTATTTTTATACCCATCTCACCTGACTGATCCGTCCCGTCGCCTCAGAAGTTTTGAGAGTGTGTTTGAAGCTCGACCGCATCAGTCAGACTTCCTTCCTGGAGGACGCCGCCCCCCCCGAGGCCAGGGCGCGTCCTTTTGATATCTGACACCTTAGAGACCACAGAAAGATGAAAACACACACCTGGAGACCAGGAGGCAGGTAGAGTGTGTGTGTGTGTGTGTGTGTGTGTGTGTGTGTGTGGTTTCTCCCTAAAGACCCATTAGCGGCGGCGGATGTGTGAATGTTTACAGGTGATTAACAGTTCAGAGGACGTCTGTGCACATGCTCCCCGTCCTCTGTCCCGAGTCCCCAAAATGAAGACCTCAGTGAGACGGAGCAGGATGAGGACGGACACCATGGAGGTCACGTGTACACAACGAACTACGTAAAGATGCACAACACATGCAACACACACTGCAGGGCCTTCCGATAGTCACGGACGCCTCAGGGTCAATATGCGGTTCTGTTTATCCGCTATGCGCATTCTTTATCTTTGGATAAACAACTTAAACGTATAACAACTAAACATAGACTGTCACTAAACTTACAAATAAACAAACAAACAAACAAATAAACAAGCTAAAATTGAAAAACCATATGCATGCTGGCGTCCACGAACAACATTCGATTCCAAAACCCCCCAAACTCTGTCAGAGGCTCTTTGTCTCCCCTCACCTGCTCACTGGCACAGGTGAGCAAACCCAACGCGCCGCCCCAAGGCCGCAAGGTCAGGACCGACCAGCAGGGGTCAGTAAGGTCACCTCATCACAAAGGGCTCCTACACACACACACACACACACGCACGCACACACACGCACACACACGCACACACACACACACACAGACACACACACACACACTCACACAGACACACACAGACTCACACACACACACACACACACACACACACGCACGCACACACACACACACACACACACACACACACACACGGCAGGTCCTGACAGAGCAGCAGGCAGTGTGTGTGAGTGTGTGTGTGTGTGTGTCTGTGTGTGTGAGTGTGTGTGTGTGAGTGTGTGTGTCTGTGTGTGTGAGTGTGTGTGTGTGAGTGTGTGTGTCTGTGTGTGTGAGTGTGTGTCTATGTGTGTGTGTATGTCCCTCTGTGTGTGTCTGTGTGTGTGTGTTTCTATATATGTATATAAATAACAAAACTGACACTCGTCTCTGTGAGTATAACTGCGAGTGGAGGTGAATACCACGAATCTCTTCCGCGCAAGCGGGGGGCGGAGGCCAAGAAAAAGCGGGGGGTAGTGGACTATTTCACGCCTCTGAACACCACGATCCCGACTCGCAGCGAACCCGGGAGCCGCAGCGTTACCAATCAATGTGAGGGGGGGAGGAAATTGCACCTACCTACGGGGCAGAGGAGGCAAGGGGGGAAGTAGGAAAACTGGACGCATGACAGGGCATGTGAAAAAATGGCTAAAGTAAGGGTAGTCGGGCAAGAACCACGCACAGCGCGGATCTTGCGTAACGCCAGCGGGGAAGACGTAGACGAGGGAGGAGTAGGGGAAGAAAATGAAGAATAAATTAGAGCAATCTGATACATACGAGCACAAAGTAGTAAAAGTAAT